AAGAAAGCGAGCTCTTTCTCGAGGTTTTTTCTTTCTCTTCTCCCTCGTTGTATTAAGAGTTTTCATGTTCTAATCATGTAACAACACCATCGTGCCGTTAACATCTGCCCTGCAGTTAAAAAAACAGAGCACTTCAGATTTAACGAGTATACTTCATTTTATCATAACCTTTCACACTGCAAGGAATTAAAATTTCTGAATTCTTTCGCAATAATTAATATCAGTAAAGAGTTTAGTAGGGAAATATTCTTGAACTACTTAGATATTATATAGAAATTAACATTTTTAATGATATGAACACGATAGACCAAAAGTTTGGGGACCACCCTCTGGATTGAATAATTCGATTGTCTCAAAACTCCTTTGGTTAAATTAACTTTTACTAAGTTAGGGAGCTGAAAATAGTTAACCCATTTGTGTAGCGATCAATTTTTGCAGAAAGGGGTTTATCTAAAACTTAAGGTTACAATTAGCCAGCAAGATAGATTATTCAAATAGAGATATAATTTTAAGGAAACTTTATTCAGTGATGTGTTAATTTCGTTATTATTATTATTATTATTATTATTATTATTATTATTATTATTATTATTATTACTACTACTACTACTACAGTTTTATGGGCACGTGGCCGAGTGGATAGAACGTTCTGACCATGAGAGGCGGGTTCGAATCTCACCGTGGTCGATTTGTCAGGAAGGAGACTGCCTGATGTTATCGAACTGGAGGGGTGGATCCAAGTGTGCGAAATTACCTGAAACCATACCCAAGCCTTGTGAGTGAAATTCGATAGCTGTGCTAGCACGAATTCATACGTCATCGTGACCGAAGGTTTGAGTGTATTGGCCTTGTTCAGTTTGTTGATCAAGGTAGATAACATGTTCTCTCTAAAAAAAAAAAAAAAGTAACTAAGTTATGCTCAGCATAGTTGCAGTATAAACCAGAGTTGGGCTCTGTGGGTGTTGAATAAACACAATTGCGTCTGAGCAACCGTCTGTAATAAGGATTGGCTAGCCGCCCTAATAGATAGGTATCCTCGAATACGAATGGCCAGCTATACATTACATTTTAGAGAAGAGCACGATTTAAGAAGAGAAAAACGAAAGGAAAAAAAAAAACAGTGTTGGAAGATATTAAATAATTCTTTAACAGTATGTTCTTTTTGTTTAAGTCATATTTAAAAAGTTTTTTTTTTATTTATAAAAATTTATATATCTTCAAAAATTTATACATCTACAAAAAATTATAAGTCGGGTACATTTATGTATGTTTATATTTGAAAAATCTTTTTTAAATATATCTTGATGAAGACAAACATACTGTCGAAATATTACTCAACACTGTCAAACACTGTGTTTTTTTTTTCATTTTTTTATTTCTTAATCGGGCTTTACTCTTCAACGCTGGAACATATTGGAAGTGTTGCGTCACTTATTCTGTCTATTCATCTATTTATTTTTTTATTTGCTTTGATTTGTGGTGTATTCTCATTTCTTTCCGGGTCCCGACCAGAGACCTAAGGTCACGACATTTTCCAATGAACAGTTTTGAAAAAAAATTACGCATATTTTACATAGATAAAAACCCTTTGTAAGGTTTGGGCTACACTCGTGAAAACAATTTCTTTTCTATTTCTTTAAGGCATAGATTACCAGGAATCCCTTCAATGAATCTATTCGAATCTTTTCCAATGAATCCCAATTATTTTGAGATTCCCATATTATTAATATTATTAAATAAAAATTGAATTACACCCTTGTGCAAATTAATTGAAACAACCGCTTGAGTTTCCTTTCTTTCACCATACGGTCAGTTTTAGACCTACCGGTGTGACAGGGTGTAATCGATTTCTATTTTTTTTTCTCAGTTTAGCTCATTTGCAGTGGTGTACAGTAATATGAATATATTTTCGGAGTGTATGATGAAATTTGTTTGACCTTGAAAAATATTACATCATCTGTTATTGCACCAGATTTTCATCACGCCCCGACACTACTGTCTCAACGGTCGATTAGTTGTCCTACGGCCATTGTCTGCGATGGACGTTACTTCAATGAAGCGTACGAAAATTGTAACGCTGCACGAACACACTGACAAGCCTTACCAGTGAGAAAATCAAAGTTCTATCGATTGGCTCAGAAACTGTCTTGATTTAAATCCTATCGAGAATCTGTGGTCAATTTGCACAAATGTTTGCAGCTTAAATGTCTAGTTGTAACCGTAGGTACTATGCTAATATTTTCTTCTCGCCTGTGTAACTCTCTTCCATTTTCTTGATTCCCAATCAAATTTGACCTTCAAAAAATTAAATGCTGTGTCATTATCTTGCGTATTTTGAATCCCACTTCTTTTATTGTTCTTTCTCCTTAATTGTGCTTTTTTTTTCTTACATTCTCTCAGACTCAGTAATCCCTAGCGTCTTAGTGACTTTATTGTCTTGCTTGAAGGAAATGATTTTAAAAAAAAGAATATATGATAAAACCCTTAAGGAAGAAAAAAACCCTCTGACCCGAAGTGAGCGAGTGAGTTAGTTGTCGGAATAAAATGCAACTATCAACTCTTTGGCGATTCTTCGAAAGAGAGTATTCCTAAATTTCTGCTCTATAGTACCCTTCCAGACTTAGGTGACCAAGGCTCTCCACAGATTCCTTTTATCCGTTAGGCTTGAATTATGAATTGCTGTAAAAGACAGCTGTGTGGTTTCCGCTGTCTTCTCTACAGTTTTGAATTCAGATTAATCCTTCTCTTACTGCCAACCAAAGTCTAAGCAGCCAAGTGAGTTCTGCTAGTAAAACAATATCCGGCTGGGAACGATATAAGGATCCATGCCTTTTAAAATGACATCAGCCCGAAAGTGAATGCTATTGGTTCCATCAGAAATTGAACTTGGCTCAATGGTCCCACTTTCTGTGCCAATAGCCGTTACACCACTCCTTTGTTTCTTATCCAGAGAGTGCCAGTTCTTCCCAAGATCAATGTAGTATCTGTGCCCTCTGCACCGGATCAGGAATTTCTGACTAAAATCAGTGTTTTATCGTACTACATTGCAAGTTTACAGACTAGCAAAGAGCGATGACTAGTCCCGGATATTTTAATCATGTGTTAGCACCTCCCTCGCGAGATAGCGTACACAGACGCCTGTGTTACGATAGGGCAATTTTTCTTTGGCCCAAATTTACACATAAGGGCACCTAACATGAAACTGATCATGTGTCACATCCTACCACTGTAGGCAGAAACTGAAGGATCAGGTAATAAGATCAGAGTGTAGTATCAGTCCGCTCTGCGAGAAATCTTTATCAAATTTTATGGATATATATATTATATATTTTATATACGAGGATAAGTCAAAAATTATCTGTATTCGCCCGAAAATATCTTTAGACAACAGTGTGGATATTTTTTTTTATTTTTCCTCGTATATGAAGGAAGATAGTTTTAAGGTATGCTATATTTATGGGATAAAGTACACAATATCATAGAGCGTATGTAAATATAAAAGTGAACATTGAAGTCAATACTCAGAAGCGACAGACAGTTTCATGTTAACAGCAATCATCAGGCGGCCCGACGATTGTGTCTAGCATGAAACAATCTCTCGCCTCTGAGTGCTGACTTCGATGTTCACGTTTATATTATATATATATATATATATATATATATATATATATATATATATATATATATATATATATATATCTGTGTGCGTGTGCGGCTTTTAAGCTAGTATATATATATATATATATATATATATATATATATATATATATATATATATATATATATAGTGTAACTCGGATATAAGAGAGTTGTCGGAACCGGAGAAGAAGTCTCTTATATCCGGGTTTGGTCTATTTTATATACATTAACACAGGCTCTATATTTGGGACCAGAGAAAATCTCTCTATATCCGGGTTTCTCTTATATCCGGGTCTCTTATATCCGGGTTACACTGTATATATATATATATATATATATATATATATATATATGCCTGTCGCCTCAGATTGTTGATGTCGATGTTCACTTTTATATATATATATATATATATATATATATATATATATATACATATGTGTGTATGTTTGTGTGTGTGTGCGGCTTTTAAGCTAGTATATATACATACTTTATATATATATATATATATATATATGTATGTATATACTATATATATACTATATATATATATATGGCCTGATGATTGCGTTTAGCATGAAACAGCTTGTCGCCTCTGTGTGTTGACGTCAATGTTCACTTTCATATATATATATATATATGTGTGTGTGTGTGTGTGTGTGTGGCTTTTAAGCTAGTACATATATTCGGCCTCCTTTGTAAATCACTAGCGAGTCTTAAATGCCACTTAAGATTATCGCATAAACTTCCATAACTGAATCAATTAAGATGTCAGATCCTCATATGTCGAAACCGACGGAGAGTCAATTATATATATATATATATATATATATATATATATATATATATATATATATATATATGGCCTGTTGATTGCGCTTAGAATGAAACAGACTGTCGCCTCTGAGTGTTGACTTCAAATGGGTGATGTAAATATATGTGAGGGATGGTGAAAGTTTATGAACTCAGTTAAGAAGTTATTTTTAAAAAGTGATTTTTAACAGATTAAGGGATGTGGATTAGTCGGATAACACCCCAGAATTCCTCTCAAATTAATTATCCAGTTATTATTTAATTTATCAAAACGCATACGAGGGATTGATTGATTGATTTGTTTTTTATGGCTTATCAACCTTTTTCAGGTTATGTAAAGCGAGACAATATTTATAGATTCTATGAATCTTTTGGAGATTAATAATGATTTACTGTTATAAGTCCAACTAGTTAACCCGTAGCTGGGGGAGAAGAAGTGAATTTATACCTTCTCCAAAGATATTTCCTCATAATATAACGAACCCGACTGGAATTGGAACTCGGCTCTCTGATTTCAAATTCTGGGCCGTTACACCACTTGTACATACAAGCTTACAGCACCTGGTATCCCCAAGCTGTTACCCATCAAAATACCGAACAGGCTCGGCGTTGCTTAACTTCGGTGATTGTATGATAACCAGTGTTTTAACTTGATAACATCGTAAGCATCAAAGAACGATTGTAATGGGTCAAAAGATTAACAAGAGATAGGAAGTAGTGGAGAGCCATGATCGACGACATCCTGAAGATATATAGTGCATAAAAGAAGAATGTTGGACTTTAATATCTACTTCGTTTTCTTAAAGTATTTTTTTTTTTTACGAAAGAGACCTCCAGTATCTGTTTCGAAGTTGTGATCACTGAGCTACGTCATTACTAGGGTGTGGTAGGTGTTTAGCTAGCGAGAGCGCTCTGTATGTACTTTGCTAGAGTGTGCAATGTGGTGAAAGTTCGACCTTCAATTAATGCACTCAACATCAATATAGACTCCAATGCATAAGAATCCTGGTGGGGTGGAGTCAAGATAAGTTTCCATCCGCAAAGCAGTTTTCTTTTAATATTTAACAAATATATCTAGATGCCAACAGGCTGGGATAGACAGCCAGATAGGCCTTCGCTTAAGATATACAGAAGTATATTTATATCAGTTAAGTCTACGAACATCGGATTGGCGTGCTGTCAATGATGATTATCAAGCTGGGCATGTGTGCTAATTAAGGGAGAGTGGTTTACACAAAATTCTTACACACTCGTTCTTTTCTCTGTCTTGCTGCATTAGAGTGGCAAGAACGTTTTGACAAGATGTCTGGTGAGAAGGCATGTCACAGTGAGAAGTTGTGACTACAAACACCGGCCTTGAAAACTAAACTAGTGACGGTCCATGAGGGCCCTGAGTATACACCAATTGCGATGAACGCGTATGCCTAGAGCGCCCGTTGGAACTTAAGCTCAACCCAGACCTCAAGGAGAAATCGTACATATGATACATCGGTAAAGATGCTGGAAAAATGATCGGTTCCCTCTCTCGCTCCAGTATCTAACACCTCCCTCTATCCTCTACCATTACAAGAGCCAAACCAGGTCTAAAATGGAGTACTGTTGCTCTATTTGATCTGGTAACCCGCTGTTCATCTCGAGGTCCTCAACAAAATCGAAAGACGGATATGCAATCTAATCGTTCCTGACTTGGCAGCTCGACTACAGTTAATTTCTCGCAGATGTGATGTGGCTTCCCTCTCTCTTTTCTACAAATATTTTCATGGCAACTGCTCTGACGAGCTATTTTCACTGGTACCCCAACTGAAGGAATTTAAGCATGCTACTAGAATGGCATCTCGGACCCACCCTTTTACTGTCGAAACAGTTAAATGTAATCGCCACTTCTACCCCAAGAGCTTCTTCTCTCACACTTCTCGACATTGGAACTCCCTTTCTCTTGCTTGCTTCCCTGACGACTATAATCTTCAAAAATTTAAATGTAATATCAATCGACATCTTCTGATGCCTTCACCCTCGTTCTTTTTAATCTTTCATCCTCCTCCCCGGAAACCCACTCTATTCTCTAACTTTCACTCTCTATAACCCTTTGCGTACTAGTGGTACTCCCTCCTTTCTTGGCGTGAATGCTTATATATATATATATATATATATATATATATATATATATATAAAAGGCAGGATGTATGTGTGTGTGTAACGAATGCACGGCCGCAATTTGCACGAAAATTTATATGCACATGCTCCAAGTTACAAGACCGACTTTGCATTTCCCAACTCCCATCGATAGTGGAAATAATCGATTTTTTCATGCTTCTACGGCAGTTTTCATGTAGTTTGCGGCCATTTTCTACTGGCCAGAGTGAGAGCCAATAGCTGGCTGCCACGAATAGGCAAGAAGATTCTATTGGCCAGCATGAGAGCCAACATCTGACTGACACGAATGTTAACTAGCATGCTAGCATGCAAAAAAATCGATAGCTGCATTTGTCACAAGTGGGAAAAATTTAAATCTGCATAGCACTTTACTCCAACTGGCTCATTCGCTTGCTTAAACTCAATGTTGATTCTGATTCTGCAGAACTGGGTTGGGTGTGAAAAAGTATTTGTTGTTAACATTCTTTTTTCATTCGGTTTTTCCAGTCACGAGTCCTTTTTTTAAAGCTGATCGTTTTGTGTTCATTTTGTTTAGTTCTTTTTTCGTAACAGATTTAATGTTTAGTATAAAGCTTAGAAAAAATTCGCAGTGTGAGATAGGCAAGAAGTAAGGCATGTAGGAACATCATCACGGAAAAGGGCACTCGTTTAAAGGCAAGAAAGAGCAAAAATATTTTAAGTCAAGTGATAGCGATTGCTGTATGAGTCGTACGATTTTTTAATCAAACACGGGCAATGCCGGGCCATGCTAATATAATATATATATATATATATATATATATATATATATATATATATATATATATATATATATATATATATCTATATATTTTTAAAGTTAATTTAAAACCCCATTTTATTTCTCTTTTAATATTAAATTAATTTTTCAATACTGAAACATTAAAATTGATAAATTTTGTATTAGTTTTCCGAAAGTTCTTTTTTTTTTCTTTTTTTTTCTTTTTTTTTTATTTTTGCTTTCGTAGTTAAATTTCTATTTCTGACATAAACTCAGTCCACACCGGGACAGATAAGACAGATGACTGACATCATCGTCTGCAGAAATAGGCTATTCTTCATACGATGTGATTTTTTGATTTTATTGTTTATTAATTATATTGCTTTGTAATAATAAATACATTGGGCTCTTTTTGTGGATCATATTTAATATTTTATATTATTAAGCTCCACTTAGATTATATACCAACGGATTTGTTAGCTTTACTATATATACATGCATACATACATACGTATATATATATATATATATATATATATATACCCAAGTATATAATTGGTATATACGGAATTAATTCCGATAACCAACAGTTACTATTCTTAAAAGAGTGCTCAATACAAAGTAGAGCAGATATAGTTATTATTTATAAAAAAATTATAACATAAGTATGTTAAAACTGGCAATTTTAAAATCCAAATTTAATATTTGTTCGATTAAATTTGGATTTTAAAATTGCCAGTTTTTAATTTTAATATTAAATTTTATCATATAATTTTATAATTATTGTTAGTATAAATTATTTTTAATATTACACGTATTTTAAAGATCTGAATAGATATTATAACATGATTTCGTTGTCAAGCTTTTGAATCTTTCTATACTTGGTTTTTGATTAGTTATTCTAGCTTTTGTAACAATGTTTCCCCCTAGTGTAGGATCGTTAATTAATCTGAAACTTTTAAAACCATTTATTTTCTTTTCAACATCATCACTTGATGAGACACAGAGTTTGTTAAAACAAAATGGCTATTTTTGTAGTGATTTTATAACATACTTATGTTATAATTTTTTATAAATAATAAATATATATATATATATATATATATATATATATATATATATATATATATATGGCATGATGATTGCGTTTAGCATGAAACAGCCTCTCGCCTCTGAGTGTTGATGTCAATGTTCACTTTTATATATATATATATATAAATATGTGTGTGTGCGAGTTTGTGTGCTGCTTTTCAGCTAATATATATACATACTATATATATATATATATATATATATATATATATATGGCCTGCTGATTGCGCTTAGTGTTGACTTCAATGTTCACATATATATGCTAATACCCTTGGGAAATGTATGAATCTGCTTCTTCTCCCTCCTGCTATTGGTAAATAGCAGGACAGACTGGGTTCTATAGCCTTGGATGGCAACTGGTCTAGGAGAAGGACAGCTCTGAAGTAAAAAACCTGCGGAGGGGTTGTTTGGGGACCTTGTGGCACGTAACGCACCAGGTCCCTGTATTCGTCCCTTCAAAAAGTGTGGATGGTTCTGCATGAAACCTTCACCACTATAATCAAATCACATGAGCTGGTGTCTGGCTGTCGATTTCCTAGGAACTGATTTGGTTGACATTCATACGGCGAATTTCGACGGGAGAATATATATATATATATATATATATATATATATATATATATATATATATATGTGTGTGTGTGTGTGTGTGTGTGTGTGTGTGTGTGTGTGTCTGTGTGTGTGTGTGTTTGGCGGGGGTATATATATATTTACAATTTATCAACATTGAAATAATATATAACCCTATAAATCAAGCCCTACCCACATTTCTCCCCCACATAAGACAGACATGCTTGTCTAGGTGTTGAGGTCTCACACTTATACACACACTCATACCAATATATAGACTTACACACATCATACATACTCCCAAAGAATCAAAAGATAACATCCAATAAAATGTCAAAATTACCGAGGAGGCAATTATTCAAGTCTTCCATCCCTCTATCTTAAAATAGGCCGTTTGACCAACACAAGGTCCGATCAAATTTAACGATAAAAAACAAAAGAAATCTACAGATAAAGTTCATTTTCTTCATAAACAATCATTCATTCCTGTAGTTCACTGCTACTAACAAGCGATTATGCACTTTTAATTGAGCCATATTGAAACCATGACACCATCATCAGATCACATAAAATGCCAGTAAACATTGACGATCAAAAATCACGTGACCCGTAACCGCTTAGGATTGTCGTCCACCACGTGTACTGCAGCTATAGCCACATCGGTGTGTCTTGGCGAAGTTAACCTGACGTAGCCCAACTCTCTCCAGACTGTTTTGAATTCAAAGTGTTCTTTCTCCTTTACTGGATGCTAATCAAGAGTATAGGGCAAAATCTGTTCCGCTGTTTTACCCAAAGCTGGTGGGGACAAACGAGATGGATGCATACCTTTCCCAGGGCTATTAAGAAAAATTAAATCAAACATCAATCGCCACCGTCTGTATTTTTATCCTATATTTATTACCCAATCTACCCAGTAACGTTTTCTCATTTTCTTTCATTCGCAGTAAATTCTTGCGCCTTAGTGACTTTAACGCCTTTCAAATTGTTGCTAGTGTTTACAAATTCGTATTAAAGAGGTGGTTTTCAAACGGCGAAATCACGAGGTTTGAAACCAAATAAAAGAAACCGAACGGCTGATTGATGAACTAATGGTAGCACA